TCTTTAAAAATAAAATGATTATAACACAAATTATTGATCAATGGATTTAATTCAATCAAATGAACTTAAAAGAAAAGTTAGAATTATTTATTTTTAAATGTCAACTTTTAAGTTATTAAATTACTCTAAAATTTGTGTTATAATCATTTTACTTTTAAAAAATAGTAAAATAATTAAACACATTATTGGATACCTTTACAGGTAATGTTACTAATGTAAAAACTGACTTCAAACCCATGACTTTTTTAATATTCAAACTAAATTTACATTTTTGCCCTTTAGAATTACACCTGCCCAAAATCCAAAATCTCTCAACCATGAATTAAAAAGGGTTATTATAAGGTTTCAGTTTTTTTCCTCACCCCAAAGGTATGAATAATTACCCTGATCTCCCTCCCCATTTGGAGAATTATCCGATACCTCCCCTCATTGGCCTTAATTGATAAATTTCTCCCATTTGGTTTATTTCACTTCCTATGAGATTGATTAATATCACACCCATCCATTTTGTTCCAAAAGTTTAAAAAACATCCCTACCCTTAGAGATATGTTAGGGTTCCATTCTAAAGGATCGAATTGTTTTTGCTCAATCTGGACGCCCAACCAAAAGACCAATCGCTTAACAGGATGGGGTAAAATGTAAGTTTTCAAATATTAGTAAATATCATTTTACCCCCTAAAACTTTAGAATATAACAATTTCTTCATCCAAATGGTCTTTTTCCTCTTTAAATGCATTGGAAAATTCTTTGCCATCTAGATACACACTTAAGCGTAAGTTACTAATATTAATGTTTAGGAATATATAAGTTTGTTATCATCAAAATAAGAGTGTGGTGACTCCTTGAGTCAATACATTCAATTTTAAAATTGAAAGTCTATTTTATTCATTCCCATCACTTACCAACTCAAAAAATATTTTTTATTCCTCGTACCATATTGTTTCTATAAAACATTAAAATAGTAGAGTTTCGACATAAGTTATTATTATTTATTGTTTTAATTATTTTTTAAGGAAAAGGCTTAATTTTACCAAACAATATTTTTTTAATTTAATTGGTGTTTTTTTTTTTAACTAAATGTTCGTTTAAATGTGTTATATAAATGCGTAACCTTCCCTGGGATGATATAATTATATGTATAAGGTTATTTTGTGGATTTGGATATTTATTGAGTAAAAGATTTAAGAAATTTGTTAAGTTATTAAGTCAGGAAAGGGTAAAATAGACTTATAGGGGGTAAATAAAACAAAGGTGTTTTTAATACTTGATAGACTTATAATTTTTTATTTTTTATTATTCTTGCATTTAGTTTATTTGGCATGTTTAATATCTTATGGTGTCTATTTGCAATGATTTTTATGTATAAGGCATTTGTGGTTAAGAGTTAGTAAATATACTTAAAATCAGAAGTTTCCAACCTTTTTACTTTTGGATGTTTTGGGTTGTTTGCAGATTTTTTATGGACTTAGACTTACAGTTTGGTTTGTGGACCACCTATGAAGTTAAAGTAGACATCTACAGTTTTCCAAGTTTGGGTGGCACGTCCAAAAACGACTCATTTGAGTCTCCAATTGTTGGTGTAAAGTCAGAGCTGAAAACTAAAATCGAATCTTAGTTGGAGTAGAATTTCTATCTGACCACTGGAGCTTTAAAAGGGCATAACTAGAGTTTTCGGAACTCAAATGAGATGATTCAAAAGCGCAAATTGAATTAAACATCCTGAACTACAATTATTATAAGGGGGTTGAAGTCCAGCAAACTTGTTGTCCTATCTAAAACTGGCTTGGAAGTTACGGCTTTAGCCCAGAAGCTTTAATCCTTAGCCGATTTGGATTATTTTTGTATGGCTCATATAAAGACTTGGTCCAACTTCAAGAGGGAGTTCAATATAAGTCTGGAGGGCTGGAAATTTGTGTGTATGAGCTGGAATTTCACTTGCATAAATTAAGGGCGGGTTTGAAGAGAGAGAAAGAAGTGTTTTCCTAAAAGAGTTTGGTTATTTGCCTTAATTTTAGGAGTTGGCTTTTAAAAGGAAGTCTTGATACATTTCTTTGGGATATAAAATAGAATTTTTTAGGCTGCTGGGGTTTTGGGAGATTGGAGACAGCACGCAATTTTTTTTTCCTTTTCTTTGTGCCTTCCATCTCATCATGTTGGGCTAAATTCTTTAGTTCGATTCAAGGAAACACCAATCTGGTTAGCATAATTGTAAGCTTTGTTCTTAATCTTAGTTATTCTTCTATTCGTATATTTGTGTTTCTTTGTTTTATTCATTATGGTTGCATGATTTAATTGATTAAAAAGGCCTGTTAATTGATTGATTGTGCGATTGATTGCTAAACTGAATTTGTAATCCGTAATTGTTATAATATTTAGTTAGAGTACTAGTTAAGCAAAACAATTGTGATCCATGCTTTTGTTGATTGTTTAAAAGAAACATGGAATGAATTAAATAATCTGGCACTTGTTTGATTGTTATTCATCTTTAACTACTTCCTAATTCGTAATGCTATCAGTAAATTCATAAGGATTACGTAATACCAAGTGGTTTACTGATAAGAATTAATTTGTGTGCTGGGCTTAGATTAATGAACTTAGGGAAGATAAAGATTGTCTGACTTCTTGATAATCTTTGGTTAAATATTTAATTAAAGAACAATATATATTAGAACTCAGTGATCAGTTTGCAACCGTGGGTAATTTCCTTGAGTCGAAATCATTTTTTTATTAAATCTTCTTTACTTAATTCATGTTAGTAGTAATTACTCTTGTGTCAATTAATTTTTGAAATAAAATTTCCCCCCTCTTTTATTTCATTAATCCATTATGATATTAAGTTAGGTAATATGATTAGCTAGTCTCTGTGGATCGACCTGTATTTACTATGATTACAAGTTGTGAGTAGAGTAATTTAATTTTTATTTGCGCTTGGCACGCATCAATACTTTTAAAACAAAATGGATGAGCGTTATATTAATTGATCTTATAGGGGGGAAATGAAATAGACTAGACAAAAGAATTCTATCAATTAAGGCCAATAATTTTCATACTTTGGGATGTGAGTGATAACAACTGAAACCTCAAGCCAATAATCCATAAAAAAAATTCCCTATTTATTTCTTAATACCTCAATCCTAGGGGTAAGCATGGGTAAAGTGTAAAACCAAAACCAAAACCGGAATTGACCCCATTAGGGTCAGATTCCGGTTCTGGAAAATTGGAACTGGGAATTCTCGAGTCTGGTTCCGATTCCTATAGTTTTGGAATCAGGAACCGAAACCGGAACAGAGGTCCGGGTACTCGAATAGATCTGGATTGAATTGTAATTTTTATAAACTATTAGGGGTGATTTATCATTTTTTAAAAGTAGGGGTAATTGAAATTAACCTGGATACTTAGAAACAGAACCTATGTTTCATGTTCTAGTTTCAGGTTTCTAAGAACAAGAACCAGTCGATTTCGATTCCAAATCATAGGAACTGATCAGTTTCGATTCTGATTCCTTAAAAAAAATACAGGGTACCCGAAACCAACCACCCTACTCAATCCCCATAAATATAGCAGGCAGATATTAGGTGTAGTTATTAATTACTACAAATTCATTAATGTCTATTTCCGCCCCCATATCTTTGCTGCAACCAATCAATGAATCATGGACTTATATTTCTATAAAATAAATAATAATAATCACACAAATTACCAGAGTTACAATATTTTATAAATTATTATTCAAATCCAATATTATTATTATTATTAGCTTAATTTAAAAATAATATTAATAACGGTTTAATGTTTCTGAAATAATTTTAATTTGATTTATAAAATAATAAATAAGTACTTTTGTCACTCAATCACTTTAAGACTTAAATTTCAAAATGAGATCCCTCCAACCAATCAGATGGGCCAGAACCAGATCCCCATCGAAACTTTTAAAATTTTTTTTTTTTTTAATCTGAATTAAAATAATAATTAAGAATGCCGACACACGTGACGGCGTTGTAAATTCAATTAATGATAATAATAATCATATAACAAGAAATCAATCATCTAGAGAAACAACAACAAACATTAATTAACCTCCCTGATTTCAACCACTCACACTTTCCCTCTTAACCCGCATCATTTTTGGCCATATTTGCCCCACCCATCCTCATTCTCATTTCTCAATTTTTGTTTCCTTTTAATTTCTTAATTTATATAAAATATAATATATTTGGTAATAAAATCATGAAAATTTGATATCAATTAATTCCTTATTCTTATAATTTTTTGGTAAGTTACCTTCTTGTTAAACAATTTCTATTAAATGAAATAAATACATAAACTATATCAGAAATATTCAAATTAAATGAATTTTCATAAAATTTCTTAAAATTTAAATCCAAATGTATAGTATAAAAAGTTAAGTTCTTAAATGGTCGAGTAGTTTGATAAGTCTTGAGTTCGAACCCTCTTATTACAAGGTAACCATTAGAACTCTTATCTTAATTCTAAAACCTCGACTTAAAAGATTAGTTGAATACACCGTAAATAAACTCGATTAATCCCGGTCACAAAAAAGAAAAGTAAATAGAATAAAAAATTGAAATAACGGCAAAAAAGATGAAAATTTGCGTAAATGAAGTTAAATAACAGCCAGTGTTTGAATACAGATGTCAAAAAATAGAGAGAGACAAACAAAAAAACGTGGGTAGAGTCGAGAGAGAAGACATACACAAATACACATACCCCACCACACAGGGAGAGAATCTAGCAATCGCTCTCACTTCCACAAATAACGCCATAATTTCATTTTGAGATTGGTACTATATTGCTTTGCCTTATGAAATCTCAATAGATCCTAATCTTTCTATTTCTCTACCCTTTTAAACCAGTCAAACCACGCCTTACGATCTCTTTTCTACTGAAACACAACAGACCCTCTCTAATTTCTATTTACTTGTTTTGTTGTGTGTTTGTGTGTGTGTGTTACCCCCTAGAATCAATTAATTATGCCGTCATGTCGAAGAGGAGAAAAGCTGCTGAAAAAAAGAAGGGACAGAGCCCCACCACCAATAACAACCAACACCAGCTCTTCAACAACAACAACGATAACAGCAACCCTTTAGGTATATTTTTCTTTTCTTTGTTTTACTTTTTCACTTTTTTAAGTACTTACCCCATCACAACAATCTGGCACTCAATCATTTTAATCCACTTTTCTTTCTTATTTATCATTTGATTTGGGGGTATTGATTATTTTTCTGTTTATCTGGACACATCATTTACTTTTGTGTTCTTTTCTGGTGGGTTGATGGGTTTTGCTTTTCTTTGTTTGCCAGATGTCTTGATGAGTATGAATTAGTTTGTTTCGAAGTCTTTTGTCGATATATAATATTCTGTTTTCTATTTGGATACTGTTTGGGAAATTGGTTTAGGGAGTGTGTTTTGATTATTTATTGGGTGGTTTGTACTTGATTGACATTATTGTTATTGAATTGAATTGAATCAAAATGGTTCTAGGCAATAATGATCCCAAAGCCAAGATGAGAGGGAGAGCGATGGTGGTGAGGTTAATTCCCCTGCATCTCAGGAGCATCATGACCAGCCACATCCATTAAGAGAAATAGAGAATTGGAGAAGAGGGATCCGTCATCTGTTCGATCATTGGACTCTGAGAACAAGTCCATGGAGGAAGTTACTGGAGATGTTTGCATGCCGAGAAAGTCGAAATCCAAGATGATGATGCTATTAAAATGGAAAGGAATGGGATCTGAGGAGGCCTCGAGACCAATTATTGCATAAGCCAAAGGAGTCAATGATGGGAGCTCTAGCAGCAGTAGTAGTTCAGATGATGATGTCAGTGGTTGAGAAGAAACCGAGGAGCTGCCTACGGGTTCATTCAAGAAGCCTGTCCGTAATGGAGAGAATAAGCCAGTTGAGTCTCTTCCGGAAGAAGTGATCCAGGTTACTGAAGAGGCATCGTTTGAGGAGGCTGATAAGTCAGTTGTGGATGCAGTTAGTTCTGTTGATTCCGTTAAGCCTTTGGTATCTGTGACTGAGGAGGTGATTCCTGTTGCACAGAGTGATCCTGTTGAGAATTCTTTGGCTTCTGATGTGGTAGTAACTAGGTTGAAGGAAACTGAAGAATCAAAGAGAAGTGAGGACAAAGTTTTTCCCATATCAGAGGATAATGTTAAGGCACCTTCAACTATGGTGGGATCTATAGCAAATGTAAACGAGGTTAAGGTTTTACCCACATCGGATGCTCCAATTGCTGAAACTAGTAATGCTGCAGAAAATATAAGAGATTCCAAAATTCCTGACTCTTCTGAAAACCAGGTATTGTCCCTATCCTTTACTTGGTAGAAATCAATTCGTCATAAATTTGATGTTATGTGCACTGAAAAAATTGAATTGACATGCAGCCTCTCCTTGTTTCTGCTCCACGAGCGGCTGAAAGAACCTCCTGGATGGGTTGCTGTGGATTGCTTGATGTGCTAACGGGCTCTAGTAGATAAGTCGAGGTTGGAATATTTTTGAAGTTAAAAGTAATTTGTGATACCCTCTTTCAAATAACTCCGTTGGATAAAGTGTTAATGTTAAATTCATGGAAGGGATTGGGAATTTTTTATTTTTCCCTATATAATGGTATTGTTAGCTGCTACGGTTGAGTTTGGTTAAGTGCCTTAGATTGAAAGATGTTTTGATAAACTAGCTGTGGGCTTTGTTAATATTTTGCTGTCCTTTTATTTTAGGACAGTTAACTGTTGGGATGTATTTTTGAGTCATGTTAATAGCTAGTGGTATGGATTAGTCCGTTATCGTTGTGCTTGGTTGTGAAGTAATGTGTTTGTATTGACTGCATACCCTAAATATTGTTGTAAGCCTATTGGGCAAATAGATGGTTAATTTTGTGAAGAGCATTGTGGTTGGCTGTCAGCTCACCCCGTCTTGTTAATATGCGTGCAGGATGTTATGATATTAATCATCTTGATTGTTTTTCTTTGTTTTAAAGAAGTGCAGCTTTGTTCCTAAGAAATAGGATGAAAGGTCACCATTTGCATTTGCCAACTGCTCTGTAATGTAAACAATACGTATTGAATTTCTCAACTGTTGTTGCAAAATGTAAACCAGGAGATGTTTTGCTTGTCTCTCCTCTCTCAGATCTTGCTTCTCTACCAAATGTCTGATTACCAAGAAAACTTCAATGATCTGAGTTCTATCATTGCATTCTTTTCTCATGAGAGCTTGTTTGAATGTGGTATATGTTATCAGTGTGGTATCACCTTTCTTTGCTGGCACATCTGCAAAAGGCCACTATGCAACCGAGTTGATAATTTAGATTTTTGGAAAGTAGATTTGGCTAGGTGAGAAGGAAAGCAGATTTGGCTAGATGAGAATTTTTTAAATGAGGCTGCCTTATATGATTATTTTGTTCAAGTTGGTCTTGGTCATGTATATAAGAAATTTTTTACCTCCCATGTGAGTGCTAGTTGGTGGAAACTATTTGAATGAAGATGTGGTTGACGAGCACACTTCCTTGTTCTAGATCTTAATTGTGCCAAGACTTTTTCACTAGAGGAGTTGTCCATTTCTGGTTTCTTTATCAGAGTATTGGATAATTTTATCTTTCAGGCCTCTTGCATCCTTGGTTGCTTACCAGCCTTAGAATCTTTTTGTAGGTTTTCATTCTCAATGTTAATGGATGCTAATTGTGCAGAACGTTAAGTTCCCAGAATCCTGAAAAATAGAATTATCTCTGGGAAGCTGAAAAGTTTCTGTTGTTTTCTGACCTGTTTCTGTTATTTGGAGTTTCTTTGCCGAAATGTGGTTGTTTTATTTGAAACATAAACTTTCTACTCTGTTGCTCATAATGTGAAAATTTTAAAGTATTGGTTGAAGTTTTCATCAAATCTACTATTCAATTGAATAATATCTTACATCCTTATGGTTTTGTGATGATGCAGGGACAGAGCATGATGGGTTTTCAATGGACCAGAAGCATGTGAAAGATGGGAAGGATTTGGTTTATAGAGTTTGTGATATTTCAAATGAGAATCTTTTCAAGGTTTTTCTGAAGAATAATAGGGAAAGAGACCTAAGTGGACAACAATTATATGATTACCATAGTGATAGTATGAACATGGGTAGACAATCACTCAATGTCCCTAGCTTTTGCTACAGTTATTTTTAAATTTAATTTTGCAGTGCAGCGTTTTCCTGGGGTGTGTTGTATCTATTTCCTTTACCATTGGGTTCGGGCGGATTTATGACCTTCAAATTACAGATTTTACTATGAGACCAGTGCGTGCTTGAGCAACCCTTTAGGTATATTTTTCTTTTCTTTGTTTTACTTTTTCACTTTTTTAAGTACTTAGCCCCATCACGACAATCTGTCACTCAATCATTTTAGTCCACTTTTTCTTTCTTATTTTATCATTTGGATTTGTGGGTATTGATTATTTTTTCTTGTTTATCTGGACAGCATCATTTACTTTTGTGTTCTTTTCTGGTGGGTTGATGGGTTTTGCTTTTCTTTTGTTTGCCAGATAGTCTTGATGAGTATGAATTAAGTTTGTTTCGAAGTCTTTTGTCGATATATATAATATTCTGTTTTCTATTTGGATACTGTTTGGGAAATTGGTTTAGGGAGTGTGTTTTGATTATTTATTGGGTGGTTTGTAATTGATTGACATTATTGTTATTGAATTGAATTGAATCAAAATGGTTCTAGGCAATAATGATCCCAAAAGCCAAGATGAGAGGGAGAGCGATGGTGGTGAGGTTAATTCCCCTGCATCTCAGGAGCATCATGACCAGCCACATCCATTTAAAGAGAATATAGAAGAATTGGAGAAGAGGGATCCGTCATCTGTTCGATCATTTGACTCTGAGAACAAGTCCATGGAGGAAGTTACTGGAGATGTTGAACATGCCGAGAAAGTCGAAATCCAAGATGATGATGCTATTAAAATGGAAAGGGAATTGAGATCTGAGGAGGACTCGGAGAGCCAAATTATTGACATTAAGCCAAAGGAGTCAAATGATGGGAGCTCTAGCAGCAGTAGTAGTTCAGATGATGAGTCTCAAGTGGTTGAGAAGAAAACCGAGGAGGCTGCCTACGGTTCAGTTTCAGAAGCAATGTCACGTAATGGAGAGAATAAGCCAGTTGAGTCTGCCTATGGTTCAATTTCAGAAGCAATTTCACGTAATGGAGAGAATAAGCCAGTTGAGTCTCTTCCGGAAGAAGTGATCCAGGTTACTGAAGAGGCATCGTTTGAGGAGGCTGGTAAGTCAGTTGTGGATGCAGTTAGTTCTGTTGATTCCGTTAAGCCTCTGGTATCTGTGACTGAGGAGGTGATTCCTGTTGCACAGAGTGATCCTGTTGAGAATTCTTTGGCTTCTGATGTGGTAGAAACTAGGTTGAAGGAAATTGAAGAATCAAAGAGAAGTGAGGACAAAGTTTTTCCCATATCAGAGGATAATGTTAAGGCACCTTCAACTATGGTGGGATCTATAGCAAATGTAAACGAGGTTAAGGTTTTACCCACATCGGATGCTCCAATTGCTGAAACTAGTAATGCTGCAGAAAATATAAGAGATTCCAAAATTCCTGACTCTTCTGAAAACCAGGTATTGTCCCTATCCTTTACTTGGTAGAAATCAATTCGTCATAAATTTGATGTTATGTGCACTGAAAAAATTGAATTGACATGCAGCCTCTCCTTGTTTCTGCTCCACGAGCGGCTGAAAGAACCTCCTGGATGGGTTGCTGTGGATTGCTTGATGTGCTAACGGGCTCTAGTAGATAAGTCGAGGTTGGAATATTTTTGAAGTTAAAAGTAATTTGTGATACCCTCTTTCAAATAACTCCGTTGGATAAAGTGTTAATGTTAAATTCATGGAAGGGATTGGGAATTTTTTATTTTTCCCTATATAATGGTATTGTTAGCTGCTACGGTTGAGTTTGGTTAAGTGCCTTAGATTGAAAGATGTTTTGATAAACTAGCTGTGGGCTTTGTTAATATTTTGCTGTCCTTTTATTTTAGGACAGTTAACTGTTGGGATGTATTTTTGAGTCATGTTAATAGCTAGTGGTATGGATTAGTCCGTTATCGTTGTGCTTGGTTGTGAAGTAATGTGTTTGTATTGACTGCATACCCTAAATATTGTTGTAAGCCTATTGGGCAAATAGATGGTTAATTTTGTGAAGAGCATTGTGGTTGGCTGTCAGCTCACCCCGTCTTGTTAATATGCGTGCAGGATGTTATGATATTAATCATCTTGATTGTTTTTCTTTGTTTTAAAGAAGTGCAGCTTTGTTCCTAAGAAATAGGATGAAAGGTCACCATTTGCATTTGCCAACTGCTCTGTAATGTAAACAATACATATTGAATTTCTCACCTGTTGTTGCAAAATGTAAACCAGGAGATATTTTGCTTGTCTCTCCTCTCTCAGATCATTCTTCTCTACCAAATGTCTGATTCCCAAGAAAACTTCAATGATCTGAGTTCTATCATTGCATTCCTTTCTCGTGAGAGCTTGTTTGAATGTGGTATATGTTATCAGTGTTGTATCACCTTTCTCTGCTGGCACATCTGCAAAAGGCCACTATGCAACCGAGTTGATAATTTGGATTTTTGGAAAGTAGATTTGGCTAGATGAGAATTTTTTAAATGAGGCTGCCTTATATGATTATTTTGTTCAAGTTGGTCTTGTCGTGTATTTAAGAAATTTTTTACCTCCCATGTGAGTGCTAGTTGGTGGAAACTATTTGAATGAAGATGTGGTTGACGAGCATACTTCCTTGTTCTAGATCTTAATTGTGCCAAGACTTTTTCACTAGAGGAGTTATCCATTTCTGGTTTCTTTATCAGAGTATTGGATAATTTTATCTTTCAGGCCTCTTGCATCCTTGGTTGCTTACCAGCCTTAGAATCTTTTTGTAGGTTTTCATTCTCAATGTTAATGGATGCTAATTGTGCAGAACGTTAAGTTCCCAGAATCCTGAAAAATAGAATTATCTCTGGGAAGCTGAAAAGTTTCTGTTGTTTTCTGACCTGTTTCTGTTATTTGGAGTTTCTTTGCCGAAATGTGGTTGTTTTATTTGAAACATAAACTTTCTACTCTGTTGCTCATAATGTGAAAATTTTAAAGTATTGGTTGAAGTTTTCATCAAATCTACTATTCAATTGAATAATATCTTACATCCTTATGGTTTTGTGATGATGCAGGGACAGAGCATGATGGGTTTTCAATGGACCAGAAGCATGTGAAAGATGGGAAGGATTTGGTTTATAGAGTTTGTGATATTTCAAATGAGAATCTTTTCAAGGTTTTTCTGAAGAATAATAGGGAAAGAGACCTAAGTGGACAACAATTATATGATTACCATAGTGATAGTATGAACATGGGTAGACAATCACTCAATGTCCCTAGCTTTTGCTACAGTTATTTTTAAATTTAATTTTGCAGTGCAGCGTTTTCCTGGGGTGTGTTGTATCTATTTCCTTTACCATTGGGTTCGGGCGGATTTATGACCTTCAAATTACAGATTTTACTATGAGACCAGTGCGTGCTTAAGTTCTGTCGTGATGGAACAGTTTCATGGCATTGTTTGAATTTTTAGATGGATATTTGCTTCTTTAGAAAAATTTATGTTTTTCTTCCATAGTTAAATGATTTCTTGAAATGGTTACTGGGGGAAGGCTGACATTGTGCATGAATCTGAGTATAGACGTTTATGGCCGAAATGGTAGATTTGGCAGGCTACAATTGGTTGCAACTAATCTGCCTTCTTTGGATGGTTGATATCTGTGTAATTTTTATCATTTGAGCTATCTGCCAATTGCAGGCTTCCTATGAAGGGCAAAGTTATTCTTCAAAAAGTGTGTTAAGCTTGTTTGATAAACCTGCTATTAGTTGAGGGATTAAGTATAGTTTATTGTTTGTGATCCATATATGGTTCAAATTCTAAAGTTTCACAACAGTATAAAGTGGTGTTATACAGGCAAATGTTTACTTTATCTGTATTACTTTTAAGCATAAAAGAACCTTGCAGTGATGAAAAGCCAAGAGACAACAGAATAAGTTGCTTTATTGAGGTTTGAGCAAACATGTCATTTTGAAGAAACAATATAAACACGGCCAATGAAATCATTTTTCCTTTATTAGTTCATACAGTTTCTGTCATATTACATACTAACCACACCCACAATCAGCCAATACCTTGGCAGTACACAGGGGAAAACAAATTTTAGCAAAATAAAGATTGAAGGCACAAGATATTTCCATCAAAGGACTTGAATTTATTATGATCTCCTCATTGGTGCAACAGTATGAATGGCTGCTATGTACAGGAGTTGTGTAACCGTGAGGATGATTAAAAATGCCTCCAGTGTTCTCTGCAAACACAAAAATAACCTATGCTCAGTATTTCATTCAAAAGCCAGTCTTTGCTTATTAACCCAGAAAAGTGCAGTAAATTGGATTCGTTAATCTTACCAACTTGGCATTTCTGATGCGGAGATCAATCTCTTTGCAAGCAAAGCTGCATTCATATTAGAAGGTTAAAAGTTTAGTATCCAAAAAGAAGCATATTTTCTGGTTATATTTATGCATCAACAAGCAGTTTTCATTGTAGGTAAGAAAGTAATAAATTTAAAATCAAACAAATGCGCCTACCCCATGGCGAGGAGTGTAAGAGACCAGGCAATGGTAGCAGCTGTGACTGCAGATGGCAAGCTATCGGCGTTCCAGTTACGAATATGGTTAACACCAGCAATTACTGATGCAGCACCAACAACTCCAGCTATCAAAGCATATGTCACAAAAAATCCCGTAGCAGCGTTGCCCATCGGAAAGTAGATAGGCGAGAAATGTGCAGGAAGATCAAGTCCTGGGCCTGCAAGTTTCACACATGTACAGCATACTTAGACTGATAGAAATGTCAAATGGGGTCATAAAGTTTTTATTTTAGCTTACCAATGACAAAGCCATGTTCGATGGCGCGATTCATAGCCCAACCACCGATGCCTAAAACTATAACATACATGCAGAAGTTAAGAACCAAAAGCAATGATGCAACTGGTTTCAATTGAGTGTTGGCCATTTCTGAAAAGTTGTTTTGAAAGAAGATGAAAGAATTAGGGGACTTTGAGGAATGATTAGAGCAAGTACAATTTCTACATGTGTTTCTTGAAGGAGACGAAGGTTTATAAATGCAATTACATTGAGGGTTTTGGTTCTTTTCTTGCTAAGGCTGCTGGTTCCAAAGGCTTCTACCATCTATGTGGGGCTGTAAAGAGCATTCTTCATGTTCAAGGCAAGCCAACCAAAACCCAGATTCGTGGTTTACATTTTCGATTTCATATTCCTTTTCTTTTACTACATTTTTGGATCCAAAATATGAAATTATTCGACTCTTTTCCAAGTATTAATGTTTTCTAGATACGGAGGAAAGTGATATTCTCTGCCAATTTGAGTTTACTATTATTATTATTATTTTCTTTTGGTAGGGGGGGGCGAGAGGGGGGTATTCGAACTCGGTTGTACACACCTTATACAACAAGTGCTTATAATATTTGAAATTTTAAGTAATTACGTGTTTGATTAAAGACTTAAGTGACTGATAAGTAGTTACATGTTTGGTAAAATGTGGTTTATAAGTACATTTTATATAAAATGACAAAATGGTACTACATTAAATAAAGGTATACTATGAAATTTTAAATTAAATAAGGATAATATGGTAATATAATTGGTCAAACTAGCTTATAAGCAGAGTGCTTATAAGCAAAAAAAAAAAAAAAAAAAAAAAAAAAAAAAAAAAAATTGGCTTATAAACTCAACTTATAAGCTCAAAAAAGTTATAAACAAAGAGATTAACTTAATTTTAGAGCTTATAAGTTTAGACAAACACTCATTTACATGGACCCATTTACTATTATTATTATTTTTTATTTTTTATTTTTTTGTATTCGAGGTGTTCGGGCTTGGTTGTACACATCTTAACTAATCTTCGGAGTTCATTGAATATCTTATAAACTCAAAGGACCATGTAAGTTACAATGTCATTGTGATAGATGGTCCTAAGAAGAACTTAAGGAAAAAAGTAAACCTTCTTGACGACCAGACCAATCCTTTAGGGTTTGGACCCATTTATTTGATCTTATTGTTTAGTTGAAAGTTAGGTTTTATAGTATTTTATAGTAGAACTATTACTATATGATTGTGTGGGCAATAAAATTTAGCATTTATATGTACAAGTGAAGGGGTGAGCACGGGTAGCGGGTAGAACCGGAACCGAAACCGAAACCGACCCGGAATCGAAACCGGAACCTACCCGAAATCGACACTGTGCGGTTCGATTCCGGTTCCGATTCTTGTGTGTGGAGGAATCAGAACCGGAACCTGGAAAAAGAATCTAAAAAGGGTCACCTGTTTGGAACCTGTAACGAGTACCTGGTTTGGAACCGATTTTGGAATCTGTTTGGAACCTGTTTTGGAACCTGGACTGCAATGAAATATTTGTGAAATGTGAATAATGGGAGGTTTCTATTATTTTACATATAAAAAAATTTAAAATAGAAAAAATTAAATTTTTAGAATAACCTAATTAAATAAATATACTAATACAATTATACTTATTACATATAAATTACACCATATTAAAAACTTTAATATATTATAATATATTAATATTAAAGTTTTCATTAATTAAGTTAATAATTGGAATTATGATCCAATTAAAAGTGTTTTAAATTTTTAATGTTATTAAAAGAACTATTTTTTAATAAAATGGTATATTTGATTGAATAATAATATATTTAGTTATTTATTTCAATTATTTAATTGATTTATAGTATAATTAATTATAGCATTACATTAATTGATTACTACTTAATTAATTAACTTATAAGTTATAACATTTAGTATATTACTTAATTAAATAATTAGAAATTTAATTAATTAAGCATTACATTATAAATTTATAATATAATTACTTAATCAATTATAACATTTCATTATAAACATTAGTACAAACTTAATTAAATGATTAGAAATTTAATTAATTATAATATTACATTAAAGATTTATATTATGATTACTTAATTCCCTATACCATTACATTATAGTATAATTACATAATTAATTATAACATTACTGTATTAGTGCATTACATAATTAAATGGTTACTTCATTGATTATGACATTATATTATGTTGATGCAGGATTTTGCACCAACGAAACGCACGTGCGAAATGTTGCAGGGGACCCCGAAATCACACGTGAAAGTAATGGATGAGAGATAGTAAATGCAATGGAGACAGTTTTTAAAGTGGTTCGGATGCTAAGATAGCAAGTCCTACGTCCACTGATGCTTATATTGATGATAGGGGTCAGGTCGCTATTAGTTGACTGACTTTATAATGATATTACAAGGTATCAACTGCTGAGAAAAGAGAGAGTAATTAATTAAGTGAAAAAATGTGCGAATCCCCTTAATGAGAGATGAATTCCTAATTTATAGTCAGATGCCTTGAGGCAATCATCACTAAATCTGCGAGTTGGTGGGATTATCCATGCAAATCCTTCTTTATGTCACATTGCCCACCTTCCAGAGTGATTTGTGCGATTTAGAGTAGGGATTGGACACGTGGGAGCACCACAGCCTCCTAACAAGCCTGACGCGCGCCCACTATCCTGACAGACGCAGACGATGGCTGTTCCAATGATCTGACTTTTGCAGGCTAAAGGGTCCTGACGTCAGCCCTTATATCTTTAGGCATAACAGAAGCCCCCTAGTTTTTAAGGTTTGAGGATTGAACCTTGGAAACTACAGGTCGTGCCACGGTTAAATGATTTTTGAAAACTTTAATCTGTTCGAAAGTAGGTCGGAGCGGCATTTGCACGAGCGCGACCTCGCATGCTCAAGGACGAGCAACCTGGTTTCGTCTGACGTCACCTGTTTATTCTGGTAACAGGAAGGCATTCAATGAAGCCATCCCTTCGCTGACAGGTGTACCCCTTGCGTGGTGAATGCCAGCCAATCACATTTAATGTCTTGCATGCTAAAACAGTGCGCTTTATCCGGACATTAAATGCAATATGCGTTGGAACGGTGCACCTTTCTAGAGCATTAAATGAAGATTTGAGACGCAATTAATGCTCTGAGAGAGATATGGCCATCGTTTAAGCTTTTCAACTGGAAAGGTGAAAGTTTGACTTCATCCAGTCATATCGCTCACCCTTCCTCGCTGATAAGTGACACGTGGCTAAGATCAACAGTAAGAAACCTTTACCGCTCGAGTGTTGTTTCAATTCCAGGAAATCCAAACGCTAATCCACGCGCTATAAAAACCACAAATCGTTCTCAGGCAATGTTATCAAAGCCTTTTTCACAGAGAACGAAAGATTTTCGCAGGCCAAGAACCTTTGTCTTCTAGACTTGCATTTTTTCGGCATATGAAGCAGACACCATCGTCGTACTCCGAGAGGTAAGAGTTTCTTGCCATCATCTCATTTTTTCCATGATTTAATGGCGTCGGTCTTCTGGTAACCCATCAGAGACTAGTCGTCTGCGTCGGGTTTGAGCCGCGAATGGCGGCTCAAACCATATTGCTAGGGTTTTTATTTAGGATTTAAGGGAGTTTATTTCCTCCCATGTCATCGTACAATATAGTGTACAGAGACCAAATAATCCCTCTGCTTGTCGCTTTTGCAGACTGGCAAAATGGACCCCTCAGATACCAGACCTGAGCAGGGAACCAGCTCGTCCCCGCATGGTGCTCCTAGCATCCCTCTTGAGGTTTTCTCGGTACTCACCGAGGAAGAACTTGAGAGGGTAATAAGCCAATTCGGCATCGAAGTGGACGTATTCCACGACCTGACGCACTCGTCGCGATACCCATCAAAAGGCTTGGCCACGATCTCCGAGGAGATTATCAATGGTGGAGGACTTATCCCCCTGCACCCTTTCATCAGGTTGTTTTTGAACCACTTTGGGGTCGCACCGATGCAACTGACCCCGAACGCGTATGTCATTGCTGTTGTAATGTACATCGCATGTCGGGAAAACAGACTGGGTGAACTGACAGCCTTGGAGCTCGGCTGCTCGTATAATCTGAAGAAGAGCAAGGACAAGGATTCGTATTGCTTGTCCAGGTGACCTACCATTGCCGACGGGATACACAGTTATCCCAGCAATGCGGGGGCCTACGAAACGAAGTTTTTCTTCTTTCGTTACAATGTAAGTTTCCTTAATTGATTCTTTTCTTGGTCGTGGAACTGAATACCTTCACTAACCTCGCCTTGCATGCGGCAACAACCATGCCACCGAAGGAACCAGAGCAACCTCGTCGAAGGCCCATCAACTTTCCTCGAACGAAGAAAGCTAAGGCGGCCGAAGCTGCACGAACAGTCCCCCAGGCTGAAGGCACAACCCCGAGCCAGCCTACGCGACCTTCCGGGATGCCCCAGCCACAACCGACAAAGGACGCACCAACGCGAACCACGAAGGTCGCCCAGCCGTCGCCTGCTCGGCCAAGGATGAAAACCATGGCTCAGCGGAAAAAGAGGAAGCAGATTCAGGCTAAGAAATCGGGGACTGAATCTGAAGGCGAGCAGCCAAAAAGGTCACAACCGGACGCGAGCAAGTCGGGCAAGGCGCTTATGGACGACACGACTGCTACTGAGGCCATGAAGAAGGGTCCATCAGTATTGGACTTGCTGGGGAACCTATCGAAGTACCTGCAGCTGGTGGTGTATGCCCTGCTGGAATGCGGACTTTCGGAATCTTTTGAGTAGTTCGTAAGTTCCAGCGACATGGACCTAATGTCCACATCGATCCAGCATATAAGCAAGGTGAGCGAACTGTCCTCGGCGAGGACTTAACTTCTTTTGATTATCTAACTCTTTCTTCTTTTGTTCGTAGGCTCTTCTTTCCATGAGAATGTCCATGGAAAAGACACAACTAGGAGTTGCGAAGGGAGGTGCTACCCTAAAGGAAGAGAATGCAGTACTTAAGCGAAACTTAGAAGCTGCTGAAGCAGAGAGAAACCTGTCTCTTGAATCGGTGAACAGTTATTTGAATGAAAGAAACGCGGCTCTCTCGAATCAGCGAACAGTTATTTGAATGAAAGAAACACGGCTCTTCGCACGGTGGATTTCCAGAAAGCGCAGCTCGAGAAACAGGGAGAAGAGATAAAGGAGCTACAAAGGACCATAGCCAGACTCTCCAGACAGGCCGAGGAGAACGACCAGGAGCTGAAAGTGACCTCCTTGCAGACCATAGCCAGACTCTCCAGACAGGCCGAGGAGAACGACCAGGAGCTGAAAGCGACCAGAAAAAGGAGAGAGAGGCCTCTGA